CCAGTACTGGGAACTGAACTCACGACCTTGCGCTTGCCAGGCAGGCGCTTTTGCCGCTGAGCTAAATCCCCAGCCCCGAGCTTAATTTTCTTTAAGAGAAACTTATAAACAGTTCAATACCCAATTATTCAATGCCACCTTTTATTTACTTATTTAAAGTTTTGTAGTGCATCAACTATAGTTTATTTATTTTTTTGTCTTTTTGAGACAGGGTCTCACTATGCAGTTCAGGCTGGTCTTGAACTCACTTTGTAGCCCAGGCTGGTGCTAACTCGCACATACCCTCCTGCCTCAGCCTCCGGAGTGCTGGAATTACAGGCATGCACCACCACACCCAGGCTTAACTATAGTTTTAAGTCAGATTCTATTACCTATTATGTTCAGATTAACCTGGAAAACATAAAGGCATTTCCAAGTAGATCAAATAGTGTGGGCTAAGCCTTTTAAGCCTTCTACTTTTTCTTTAGGAAGCAAACACACAAAATAAAGAGATGCTCTTCAGCATTAGGACAGAAAATTTATCACAGGCCATCCAGGTAACAAAATCAAATGTATCATGAATAGTAAAACATCCTATTAGTTCCTACTTCTCTCAAGTTAATGTTCTATTTTAAAGTTATTTTTCTATAATTCTATAGAGAAAGTTAATTTTTTAGTTTCTTTTTATACTTACTCTGAGGAAAACCTGATTTACAATGCTTTTGTTTGCATACATAAAAGTTGTTAGCAGCCCAATTCCAAGAGAAATCCCTGTTAGAAAATAAGTTTCAGTTAATTGAAAGAAAAAACGCAAAGAGAACTATGTAAGCTAACATGAATTAAAAGGAAACAAATTTTAAAAAGCCAACAGAAAATAACTGGATTGCATAGGTTAAAGTGGATTACCAATAATGAAAGAAAATTAACTGAATTTAGCAATTAAACAAGTCAGTGTTTTATTATGCCCTACCTGTTATATGTTGCATAAAAAGTTTGACACCCAGAATTAAAATATAGGGAAGGCATTTTTGCAGCCACTTGAGAAGATAACGGAATTCTGAGAAGGAGCTGCTTCCATGTTCTCCAGATTCCGTGGCAGTGTCATCGGGCTGCCTTGCTTCACTGTGGGAGTGACTCCGGAAACGGCTGTGTACACATCCGTGAGCACAGCTGTGGACACCTGACCTTGTATTTCTGGAGCTTGGATTTTCAACATATTCTTTAGGTATGGCATTTATCTGGATATGAACATCTCCGGAATGAAGACAAGACCCTTCTCCAGCCAGTCTGGTTGCATGGACACACTGGGAAGTTGATGCATCCTCACCACCTGCAGTTCCTAAAGAACTGTGCAGTTGGTTACAATTGGCTTGCATGGCCCTTGAGTATTTTTTCTTTGATCCAGATTTCTTTGCTTCAGGGGTCGGTCTTCTAAAATAAAAGTAGAAGATATTCCGAGTGAACAGTTAAGTAAGGACTGTGTCTTTTGTTTACTAAAGGAATGGCCGATTAATTTTTGGGTTATCTATCAAGGAACATTTGGTACCAAAAAGCTTTGAGCTTCATTCAACGCTTCTGTTTCTCAGTGCCACAAGGCATTAGCTAAACAAACATGAAGTCTTGGGGACCCAGCAGACCTTAATATGAATACTGAACACCTTGGTACATTTGGTCTGCACACAACTGGAGCAGCTTCAGCTCTGACATAGATTCTCACATCAAAGAAGTTTCATAAGGGACAGTGAGTCAGTATTTTGTAATGCGTGGAAAGACTAGGAAGAAAAATGATATTACATCTCAATATCTTATTATCCCAGGGAACTAATAAACATTTCACCTGCAAATTCTCTTCATGCTGAAACAGCTTCCCCAAACTAATAAGAACTCCAGTAATTAATGGTGCTACCAAGAATACTGATATCACAGTACTTCTCCTCCAAAAGAACGTTACCTACATACTTTTAAAATCGGGGTATTCTGGGGGAGTCACCATGTAACTGCTAGGTGACGTGTCAGTCTGAATACGGGTAGTGACAGTCTGCCGATTAAAAATGTCTCCCTCGCTGGCGTGTGCTGCAGGGGACGAGGGTGTCAGGAGGGAGGCCGTGGGCAGGGACGGCTCCCTACGCGATCCGGCACGGGTCTCCGTGGACGCGGACGCCAGAGCTGGAGCCCGTCGCGGCGGCTGCGGGAGGACGCCGGCCAAACGCAGGCGTTCGCTCGCTCTACTTCACACCCGGTTCACCTATGCGCGGCTGCCGGGCGGCGGCTTGGGGCTCAGCTCTGTCCGCGGGCGGCTTCCGCCGAGGCGCCACGCCACGGTGCTACGTATTTCCTCGAGTCTCGGAAGAGCGACTTTGGTAGGACACTTTGTGTCTTTTCTATAAATAAAAGCACAGAACCCTCCCACTCTCCTCCACGCACAGGCAGGAAAGCCCAGGAGAGGGAACGAAGTACAGACAACAGCAACAACTCTTCCGGAATCCCCGACAGCGCTCCACCCACGCCCGAGCCGGCCGCGCCTCGGCAGCCGCCCTCGCCCTCCGCCGCGGCCCCGCCGCCGCCCACCTCCCCAGGCCTGACCTCTCATGACCGGGAGCGGACGGAGGCCTCGGCACCCACAGAGAGAACAGCCGCGCGCGCCGCGCCAAGTCCTTCGGCCACAGCCATGGTCTTCCAACCGCTGCAGCGCCAGCCCGGCCAGCGGCGGCGCACGCGCTCCCCTGACGTCCTCCATCGCCCCGCCCCCCGCGGCATCCTGGCCCCGCCCCGCTCCCAGCCCCGCCCCCACATCGCGGCCCGGCCCAGGCCCCGCCCCCTACGTGGCCGGCCGGTCAAACGCGTGTACTGCCGTGGGGTCCGCCACGGGCCTCCGACTTCCGGGACGTCTGGGTGTTACTGCGTGCAGGCTGCGGAATTTGCCTTCGGAGCCCCGCCGGAAGCGAAGGGCGTTGCCGGCCCGCCCCGCTGTCCCCAGCCCACGCCTGTCCCCTCCCGAGGCGTCGGGACTCGCGGCCGAGCGTGGGCAGCACGTGGGCAGGTTCGGCGCGGCCCGGGAAGGGCGGGGGCGGCCGGGTTTCCGCAGGCGGCTCCCCGCGCCCGCTGACCCACTGGCGGGTGCTACCGCGGGGTTTTTGTTACGGTCCCGAGGCGGGCCGTGAAACAGACGTGCGGGGGAGCTTGCACGGAGTGGAAATAAATTGGAAAAACCCTGCGTTGTGTGGTACTGAGGGAGCCTCAGCTGTTACTTACAGAGATGACATCAAGGAGATACAGCGCTAGCTTTCCTGGAGTTCTTGGGAGTCCTTGGGAGGCTGAGGCAGGCGCGTGGAGACAAGTTTGAGGCCAACTGGGACCGCATACTGAGATCTGTCTTAAAAAACCAAAACACACAAACAACAGCAAAAAACCTCAAAGGTAAAATGTATGAGAAGAGGGGAGAATCTCACATAATCAATATACAGCCACAATGGAGCACCAGTATGTTTTAGAACATTTAGTAAATTTGTAAATTTAGTATACCTAATACATTAATCATTTTTAACATACGTATAACACATTGAAGGCATATCAGTTCATATTGGAAATTTGTTAGTACATTTGGTACCCAAATAACTCGACTAAAATATAGCACACTTGAAGAACAGCTCCAGATTGAGATTTGACTTCATGATGGACTGTTACTTGGTAAATTTTCTTTTCCTTATTGTCTAGAATGCTGGAAATGGACATTTTAATTTTATTTTTTTCAGTGATTCAAAATCCAGAGCCGTTTCCACAATAACCTAAGGGGGTGATATACAGCACTTCAATAGCTTGGACATTTTAATTTCAAATGATTAATTAAAAAGCATTTGTTGGGTTCTTACTGTCAAGAATTGTACTAGATATGCGAGAGATAGGTAATTTAAAAAATGTAGCTGGGTATAGCAGGCACACCTGTAATCCCAGCACTCTGGGAGGCTGAGGCAGGAGGATGGTAAATTCAGGCCCAGCCTGGGCAGCAGAACAATTTGGGGAGACCCTGTCTCCAAATAAAAAATAAAAATAGGGATGCAGTTCTAACTCAGAAGCCTTGGGTTCATGTCCCAGTGCCCCCCGCCACGTACCCACAATGATGGAGTCTCCATCCCACAGGAAGTAAGTGGTTGAACAGGTCTGCCAAGAAATAATTACAGTGGATGGGAGTAAACACTATAATTGAAGGTTGTATGAGATGCAACAGAGGTCAACGTTAAGAGCCTTCAACTTTATCATGCAAGATATACTACCTTAAATTTGTAGCATTTGAAATAAAGATTGAGGAATACCTTAAATTTTGCAGGATGAAAGCAAGGATAAGGCATTCCATATAAAAACAACATTAATAGGAACTTGTGATACTGAAATACCATAGCCCCTTAAAGACTTAGTTACTCATTTTTAGAAGTGTAGGGCAGATGGGAGGGACTAGTAAGAGATGCCGTAGGTAAGTAGGAGGCAGAAAAGGAAAGTCTTTGTAGGCCTCACTGAAGAGTTTAGTCTAATGGCCAAGGGAAGCTGCTGAGGTTTAAGCAGCAGTTATATGATCATATTTGTGCTTTCCAGAGGACTTACATACTCATAGAGTGTAACAATGCAAGCTGAATTAGGAGATCATTATAAGTAGTTCAGGTAGGAGATAAGGTCTTGAACTTGTCATCGAAGTGGATTCCAGAGTAACACAGACTGGAGGGGTTATATGGAGAGAGAAGCAGTGGGATTAAGTGTGATAGATTGGGGCAGCTGTGCCCCTTACCCCCTCCCACCACCTTGCCAGTTTTTCTTACCAAGTCATACCCATGCCCTTAGAAAGTCACCTTCCAGACTAATTCACACGACTTACTTTTGCTATTGGCATAATAACAATTGTTAGTAGAAGCTAAAAAATTTCTTGCACTTTGGAACTTTTTTTTCTTTTTTGAGACAGGGTCTCGCTATGCAGTTCAGGCTGGCCTTGAGCTCACTTTGGAGCCCAGGCTGGTCTTGAACTTGCAAAGATCCTCCTACCTCAGCCTCCCGAGTGTACTTTGGAACCTAACAGTCCTCTGCAACAATCCTTCTGCTGCCCTGTAATCAAACCAAGATTGCTCCTAGAAGAGGGGGGACCATTTGGAGAGAGGCCCCATCTGTCCCAGCTACCCTAGCCTTCCAGCTGAGGCCCCAAACGTATGTGGAAGCCCATCCTAGACCGTGCAGCTGCAGCTGAGATGGTTCAGATAGAAGAAACAAGTCAACAGGCACAATTACAAGAAATTTAACAAAGATGTAAAGTCTCTAGATTTGGGGCAGTTCGTTTTTTTCTTTTGTTTTTTTGATGCAGGGTCTCACTATGTAATTGAGGCTGGCCTTGAAGTCTCAGCAATCCTCCTGCCTCAGCCTCCCAAGTGCTGGCATGACAGGCTTGTGCAGCCATGCCTTGCCAAGGCAGTTCATACCCAAGTGACCAAGTAGACGTGGAGTGAAAGAGTAAAAGTCTCCGCTGGATCTTTATCTTTTACAGGGTAGATGGATAAATCAACATTAGAAAACTATAAATGTCAGAATAAATAAATTGCTGATGTTATCACATAGAGTAAGTTTTTTAAAGGCCAACTTTGGAGAAATAACGAACTTAGCTTCAAAAATACTGAGCTGTAAGAGTTCCTAGGACAAATGGGTGACGATGTCCCCCTGACAGGACTTGGAGAAGTAAGTGAAGACGTCGAGTTGGCAGGGTTTGGAGAAGGAGAACTTTGGAGTGAAATTTGTGATATTAAATGACAGTGGCCATTTCTCATTTATTAGTTTTCATAGCTTTTTTTTTTTGGTAGATTTTTTTGTGGACATTGTTGTCTCCGAATGGAAACTTCTTCCTTTCTTTCAGACCTGTGTGCCTTTTCTCCCTTGCTTTATTGTATTTACTAGAACTGCCGGTACTGTGTATAATAAGTGTGCTGAGGATAGACATCCTGCCATGTTCCTGATTTTTAAGGGGGAAACATTCTACCTTGTCATTAAGCTTCCTAGCTACAGTGTTTTTTGGTTTTCCCAGTTGTCCTCTCTTAGGTTAAATAAATTTCCATCTATTCCTTACTTGTTGATGCTGCGCAGTTTGGGGTAAGTATCTGCCTAAGGCCCATGTATCAAAGGTGTGGTCACCAGCTGGTGGCACTATGCCGAGGTGGTAGAGCATTTTTAAGGTGAGGCCTAGTGGAAGCAGTTGTCACAGAAGGGGGTGGGCTCCCCTACAAGAAGAGACAGGACCCCAGCTCCTTCTTTCTTTCTTTGCTTCCCGCCTGCCAAGCACTTGCACCAGTTGCACACAGTCACTACACGCCGACGGCCATGGGCACCAAACTACCATGAACTGAAGCCTCTGAAACAGCCAAAACAAGGCTCACTCCTTATTAGATTGATTATCTCAGGTATTTTGTCACAGTGACAGAAAGCTGATTAACACAGCTGAGAATTTTCACTTCAGATGTTGAATTTTAGCAAATTCTTTCCCTGCCCTTATTGAAAAAATCAAATGATTTTTCTTTTTTAGTCTGTTTATATGGTGAGCTTTAGCAAATAATTTTTTTTTTTTTTTTTTTTTTTGGTCTTTTTTGAGACAGGGTCTTGCTATACAGTTCAGGCTGGCCCATGAGCTCACTAGGCTGGCCATGAGCTCACTTTGGAGCCCAGGCTGGCCTGGAACTCACAAGGATCCTCCTGCCTCAGCCTCCCAGAGTGCTGGGATTTCAGGCATGCGCCACCATGCCTGGTGTTAGCAAATAATTTTTAAGTGCTGAGCCAGCCTTGCATTTCAGGATAAACTCCACTGAGTTCTAGTATACCATCTGACTTAGTTACTCTTCTCATTGCTGGGACAAAATACCCAACACCCACAAGTTAAAGGAGGAAAAGATTTACTTTGACTTACAGTTTGTAGCGATTTTAGTCCATAATCAACTGGCTCCAAGGCAGGGCAGCATGGCAGAGGGGGAGCATGCAGGAAGCAGCCAGGATCAAGGAGGAGGAGGGGCATAATGGTTCCAGGCCACGCCCAGGGGCCACCTCTTCCCACCAGGCTCCCTCTCCGAGCATCAGACCCAGCTAGTAACCCCTCAGTGGACTAACCCAGCATCACGCACACCCCATCCAATCACCACCCGATAGCCCCACCTACGAGCACATGGGGCTTCGGGCTTTGGGGGGACATCTAGACGTAAACCCTAACGGTATCCTTTTTATATGTAGCATTCAATTTCTTAAAATTTTGAGAATTTTTGCATCTGTGTGTATAGGAGATAAGAGGGTTTTTTCTCCCTTCACTTCCTTTCCTTCGTGTTCTTTTTTGTTTGTTTTGTTTGAAACAAAGTCTGTTGCGTGGCCCAGGCTGGCCTCCAACCCCTGGGCTCAAGCACCTCTCCTCCCTCAGCATCCCAGGTAACTGGCACAAAGGCAGGCAGCGCTGCACCTGGCCGCCTTCTTTTCTTTTTTTGCACTGCTGTTCTCATGTCTTTGTCTGGTTTTGGTATCAGAGTGATGCTGGCCTGATTCGAATAGTGTTTCCACCCCCCCTGTGTAGAATTGGTATTGTTTCCTACTCAAACGCTTGGTAGAATTTATCAGTGAAACTACCTGGTCTAGAATTTACCATACGGGAAGGCTTTAAACTACAGACTCAATTTCTTTAATAGCTGTAGGATTAGTCAGGAGATATCTTTCTTTGCAAATGTACCTTGGTAGTTGTGCCTTT